TGAAAAAAACACTAGCGGATCCAAGCACGGGCTCGACCGTGCTATAGTCCTTGTCCGCCCGTGAAAATATCTACTTTTTTTTTAAAGAGATAAATCCATCTATATTTGTATTATAGCCTGTGTCCAAACCCAAAGTTGGATCCGCCACTCAAAAAAAAGAAAAAAGAAATAGTGAAAATTTCAAATAGTATTTCAATCAACTAAAAGAAATTTTCGCAACACTGTAAACAATGATTCAGAAGACTTAAAATGTAGTTTGACCAAAATTGCAAATTAATCTCTCGTGTATTGTCACAACAACATAATAGCCTTACTAAGATAGCAATATTACTCGGATAAAAATTTATTAAATTTAAAATAAAAAGAAAAATAAGCATCATCCGACCCTTGGTTTTGTGTGCTCATTTGCCTTCATGCTGTGTGAGACAAATTGCTATCATCCCTTGTCTCTTTTCAAATGATCTTACGTGTTTATGAATTGAATCATGATTACATTAAGAAATTATCTGTCAAGTTATCTGGATAAGTAAACGAATGTAACATTCATAAAAGAAGTCCTTGACAAATCAACAAGTAGGCCAATTGACAAATGGGAGAGACTAGTTATGTTAGTAAATTATTTCTTTAATCTACACTCGCTTTCAAAAGAACCGAAAATGGGGTCATTTCATGCACTACAAGTCTACGATATCGATAGTGATAAAAGATATTAACGATGATGATCATCTTTTATTTGAAGTCGTGAAAAATTAATTTAACAACTAGAAACTAGTTGGAAAAAATCCATAAATTTTTATTTGTTTGATATAAGTAGAACTTTTTGTAATAAACTTAAGACATACGTTCTGACATGTTATTCAAGATTTAATTGAAAGTTTGCAATAAAAACAGGTCTTTAAAGCACCAATGATCTTCTAGCCAAAACCCACTTGATAATTCCTTTTAATTTGATGGAATAAAACACAGGACTTTCTTTAGGAGAGAAAATACTGCAGGAATTTTGTACAAGTTTGGCTGGAGATCCTTTGGCATATATATATAGACAACCACCAAACAACTTCCATCCATCATGGAAGTGGTAGTTTTCTTCTGTAATAACTTCCCTTCTTTAACCAAATGGGAAGTTATCTTGATAGTTAATTAACCTTCAATTTAAATTTAAAATGTATTTAATTTTACATTGACCATGTGGGTTACAAACAGTTTACACTTTTTTCTAAGGGTGTGTTTGATTACATTTATTTTCCATGGAAAATATCAGTTTTCCACCCAAATTCCTACTTCAAATGTTTGATTGCTATTTTTTCCATGGAAAGTATTTTCCAATTTTTGAAAATATGCCTAATTTTCCTTGTTTTTAAGGAAAATATTTTCCTTGGGTAGAGGTGGTTTTTATTTTTCATAAAAGATGGAAAATATTTTCTTTTCTAAGTGATATTTTCCATGTCAATCAAACACACTTTAATAGAAAAATGAATCAAATTTAAACTTTTGACGATTTTGAGCATTCAATGGATGCTTTCTTAACTTTCTTTCATTCGAATATTGAAAATAATTACAAGAATATATATATATATATATATAAGATGAAGATGCATTTTATCCCGGTTTGTAATTCAATTTTATTATTTATTGGGTTATAAATGCATTTTACAAATTGGGCTTTTCCTAAATGATTTTTGGGTTTTATTAGGGTACTGAATTTTTAATTTTTTAGGTTTCTTGTTGGTATAAAGCTTATGAGCATCATTTGTGTGTGTGTGTGTGTGTATATATATATATATATATATATATATATATATATTTTTTTTTTTTATATCCTGAAACATATTTCTAGTATGTTTATTTTTTGTCAAATAAGTCATATCTATACAATCATAATTGCATTGATGCTGGTTACGTAAAGCAAATAATAATTCTGTCAATTCATGATGAAATTGTATGAATGGTTTGATTAAAAGGACTGGTTTCAAATGGCATCTTTTGTGGGACACAAAAAGCATTAAGAGCAGTGGTAGACGTTTTGGAATATGTGCAGATTCAAACCCAAAATCAATTATTGAAGTTATTCCTTGAAACCTCAGCTTTTAAGTTGCTTTATTTTCCCAATAATTATAATTCTCCTGAATGTAGTAATTTCTTTATAATTTTAAGTGAGATTACAGAATAGAATGTCCAAGAATCTGCCATTTTCAAAGTGATAATAAAGCTACCTCCAATACAGGAAAACAACCAATAATGGTGCATAGATATTGTTGTACGTCGCTTCCACTATCATAAATTTTACTGTATTCATCACATAGATAACAAAAGTAAAAGCTTATTTATTGTAAAAATCACACATTTTTGTTGCCCATACTCCCTTTTATAAGGCAATATCGAGTGCTAGGGTGAACATGTGATCACTATCTTGATGCAGTAAAAGGCTTTTCTTTGTGCCCAGTAAAACTTACTAATAAACTATAACGATGGCGAATACTTAAGGTTGAGAAGATTCATTTTTTAAAGTACAAAGTGTTAAGAATGATGAAGTGAATGTTGGTGAATTATTATCATGGAGAACGTTTTGAAAATTAATCCATATATTTTATAGATATCGTGCTTCACTAAAGGTAAACAAAAGAATCATCAAATCATAAATTTCAATTGAAATCATTGGTTTGGGTCCTTGGACCCATTAATATTTTGGCTATAGGTTTGAATAGTTAAAAACTATTTGAAAGTGAACCAAATCGCTAATAAAAAAAACAAATAAGGAAATTTACTTATTGTCGATTTTGTATGGTGTTGATAGATTTCATGTCTTTCAGTCAATAATATACTCATCATTCACAAGTACATAGGTGTGTCTTTGTTCTTCTTTATACCTTTATTACTTTGACGTGGGAAGAATGGTAAAGTATGCGTGTTTCTGTAATCTTTTACTTCGTAAACACTAATTATAGTTTTAATGCTTGCAGTATTTATGTTTTAATGCGTTTGAAACATGTTTTTCTTATAATATTAAGTAAACCGTGGTTTGAAGCCAAAACGAACTGAACCATAAAAAATGGATTGATAAACCTTAAACCCAAAACAAACCATGTTGACCCTCTGTGTCACTAAGTTGATAGTCAGTAGTGCAAAGCTTTCGTCACTACTCCATACCAAACATGAGATAGCAAATATTTTGCCTATATAAGAAGGGCTCCAGGAACTACTAACCAGTGAAGTAGAGGGGACAGAGAGAATTCCACAGTTTCCTAACATAACACACACAAATATATCTTTTCTCAGTGCTCTCTTTCTGAATTTCTGAGACATGGTATAAATTAATTCTTTAGCCTTCAAATTATCTTTCTTTTCAAAAAATCATAATAAGATTATAATTAACAAATGATTTTTCCCCCCTTTTTTCAACTGTATCTTCTGTAAACAGGAGGAAAAGATTGTTTCTTCTGCAGCAAATGCATTAGACTACAAAGGATTCCCAGCTGACAAGTCCAAAACTGGTGGCTGGATACCTGCTTCTCTAATCTTAGGTTCTGACTCCACCCCAGATTTTATTTTTTTCCTCTCTTTTCTTTTTCAAATGTATGAATTTGTTCATAAGTTTACTCCTGAATCTTAACTATTTATTCATAATAATTTTTTAAGTTTTAATATTCCTTTTCGACTTTTTTTATTTCCAGGAATAGAATTCTGTGAAAGGCTATCTACAATGGGAATAGCTGTAAACCTTGTGACCTATTTGATTGGAACAATGCATCTCCCAAGTGCTACTTCTGCTAATATTGTAACAGATTTTATGGGAACCTCTTTTCTTCTGTGTTTGCTTGGGGGATTTCTTGCAGACTCTTTTTTGGGCAGATACAGAACAATTGCAATTTTTGCACTTGTCCAGACCATTGTAAGCATTTTCCACTTATTATTATATGAAAGACTTCAGTATACATTTATTGCAGCTACATGAAGTCTTTTACTCGTTCTGCCTGTTCGGGACATTGCTAGATCTACTGGAAGATCTAAATGTAACTAGATCTTTAGCAAATCATTCCCTTAATTTATCCTTAATCAGCGCCACCTCTAGTTGTTGGGGCTCTCGTTTCTTATCTTCTACCTTATACACCTTCTCGTTTCTGCTATATTCATCAAATATTCTGTGCTTTAACAGCATAATACGGTCTAGAAATCTTCCTATCACACACAATTCTCGTTCAAAGAACTCAGAAGAGAAACTCATTTATTTTGTACTTTGGTGAATTAGGGTACAGGCATGTTAGCTATATCAACAAAGCTTCCACAGCTTCGTCCGCCTGTTTGCCAAGCAGAATCGCCCACCCTGTGCAAACAAGCAACAGGATCTCAAATGTCAGTTCTATATGCATCTCTATTTCTTATAGCAGTAGGAACTGGAGGCCTAAAATCAAGTGTATCAGGTTTTGGAACAGATCAATTTGACGAAAATGACGAAAAGGAAAAGGCAAAAATGAATCTCTTTTTTGGGAGGTTTTTTTTCTTTGTTAGCCTGGGAACACTGATGGCTGTTACAGTTCTTGTTTACATTCAAGATGAATTAAGCCGGAGTTTGGGTTATGGGATTTGTTCTGTGTCCATGTTTACAGCAATTTTGATATTCCTGGCTGGAACAAGAAGATACAGATATAAGAAATGTGCAGGAAGTCCAGTAGTGCATATTTTACAGGTTATAGTGGCTGCTGTTAGAAAGAGAGATGTCCATATCCCAACAAATGAGAATTTGTTGTATGAAACAGCTCCGGAGGGCTCAAGGATTTGTCAGTCGGGTCAGTTCAGGTAAGTCAAATGATGTTCTACGGACTCTTATCAACCCATATGTTTATCTCGTGTTTTATTAAGTATGCATTTGGCACGAATGATGCTCAGTCATAGGAATTTGAAATTCGAATTGGGAAAGTTAGCATGATGGTCCCTTATTAACTACTATTCCTATGTAACGAATGATGTACAAATAGAGGTATACAGCATCCGGTCTGCCTCTGAGGTGGACCAATGAATACATACCCGCTCGGTCTGCATACTTCTGCCAGACCCCTGTGTGTGGGCCAGACCTGGTACACCCTACCTGGAAAGAATACTATGCTAACTGGCTAGATAGTTAAAGAATAAGGACCGTGCTACATAGTCATAAAGGAAGACACTCAGTTGACATAGCGCACACACATGGGAGAGGTCAAAATTATTTTATTCATGGGGACCCACACCTCGATTGTGAGTGCTATGTCACCCATTGTGTCAAAATCTATGTTCGTTTGGCTTAATTCAAAGAATAAACCCTTCTTCAGGGACTTTGTCGAGGCAATGTAAAGGGGCTGAGATGGAAACCTCTGATTGAATGTTTTAAAATTATTTTTTAGTCGAACTCCAATGAAATGTGCCATCTGGCAACCTGTAATTCCATTTTGCAAATTTGTTTGTATACGTAGCATGGTTTGTCAAATCCAATCCCAATTGTTCAGCTATAAAAAAATATAGAATTATCTGAGAGCAAGTCAAGGTATAATTTAATCATAAAAATATGATTAATATGAAGAAAACCTATCGAAGAGGAAACTGCTTGTAAAGTTTTCTCTAAAATGTTTTCAAATGCAAATCCATCATAATCACATCAGTAGCATGAGGGAGTGCAGTGATATCCATTGCATATTGAAGATGTCTTTTCCAGTTAGTCGTAAGTCATGATTCATATAGAGATTTCTCCTCGTGGCACAGCTTGGCACCATTTCTAACATTTGGGTCGTAGAACGAACAAAAGACTCAAAGGAGTTGCAACTATCCCAAAAAAGAAGTAAATACGTAATTTCACGATATTCTAACATCACCTTATGCACTTACAGATTCTTGGACAAGGCTGCAGTGATCATAAAAGAAGACCATGCAACAAATAATATTATGTCTCCAAATCCATGGTGTATTTCTTCTGTGACAAAGGTAGAGGAAGTGAAAATGATGATCAGACTTTTACCAATTTGGGCTACTACAATTATATTTTGGACAACATATGCCCAGATGATTACATTCTCTGTAGAACAAGCCTCTACAATGAAAAGAAACATCGGAAGTTTCCAAATTCCGTCTGGTTCCTTAACTGTCTTCTTTGTATCAGCCATATTAATCAGTTTGGCAGTTTATGACCGTCTGATCATTCCTATATGGAAAAAATGGAAAGGAAAACAAGGTAACTATAAATTTCCACCATCATTGAATTTCTCCGCATATTGTTTGGCATAAAAGATTACTGGAATTACTTTTTTATTTTATACCGAAACTCATGAAGGCCTAGGCGTGAGGTTTGCCGGTTTGGCACTGACGTCTATTATTTGAAAGATTTAGCACATAAGGTGAGGCGGACCAACCTAACCTCAAGAGGGACAAAATGATGGAGAGAACTTGCAAAAGATATGAACCTGAGAGTACTACTTCCCATACAGTTAACCAACATCTTAACTAATCCAATAAGATATTTAGACCGAACTTTGCTGTTTTCTTCTGCATTACCTCGACTGAACATGACAAATATCATTACTTGTATGCAGGTTTCACAAATCTACAAAGAATAGGCTTAGGTCTATTCCTATCAGCACTAGGCATGGCAGTTGCAGCAATTGCAGAGAAGAAGCGCTTGTCAGTGGTGACAAAATTTGGTCGAAACACCCAAAATCTACCCTTAAGTGCGTTCATTTTGATCCCACAGTTTATCCTTGTGGGCTCTGGAGAAGCATTTATATACACTGGACAGTTAGATTTCTTCATAACCCAATCACCAAAAGGGATGAAAACAATAAGCACCGGCATATTTTTGACAACTCTTTCATTTGGATTCTTTCTCAGTAGCCTTTTGGTATCCGTTGTTAAGAAAGTGACCACATATGGTGGAAGAAATGGTTGGGTTGGGGACAGAATTAATAATGGAAGACTGGATTGTTTTTATGGCCTCTTGGCCATACTAAGTTTCATCGATTTTGGGATTTATCTTGTTTGTGCTGCATGGTACAGAAAACATACAGCAGAGAAGAATTTACAGGCAGAAATGGTTGCTAATAAGGGTTCCCCTACTGAGAAGTGCTAATCTACGTACAACGTTATATAGCATCAAAGAAACCAAAACTGTTGCTAATCACCGTTCCTCTGTCACTCTCGTTTTGTTTGGTGAAGTCAATTTTATAATGTCTTGTAGCATCAAAAAGAGAAACTGAACATGAATCTGTTTGTTTTTAAGTACAACATACCAAACATGAGATATCATTTGGTCCTCTTTGTACAGTTGCATGGTATGGTTGACGGGAATAAGAATCTTTATAATTTTTAATTAATGTCTCTAATTTTGTTTTATTTAGAGTGCCCGCAACTAGAATTTTAATATATTTCAAAAGTTATCGCAAATTTAGGTGTCATCAATTAATTTTTTTGCAAATTTTATTAAAATCTAAATATCCACGATAATTCTTAGATTTTTAAGGATTTCAAAAAAAAAAAAAAATTGGATGAATTTCAAACTCAAAAATACACAATAAAAATTCTTTCGAAATTTCACCATTTTTAATATGATTCTTACGAATTTGTTTGAAGCCTGTTCAAATTAACGAAATTCATTAACATTTATAATCTTTTAAAATCATTAATATCTTCCTTTCCTGTTGACAAGGAGAAGGTAAAATCAATTAAAAGCTATCAAATGAAAGTACGCCTCTACATGGAGACCAAAAGGAGCCTTTAACCTTAACCAAACATCTTACAACTAATTATTACAAGTTTAGCAGAGTTATTTATGCACTGGCAATCTATTAGATAATTTCCTTGAAGCCAAATGCGATGTAAAGTCCAGGATAGTGAATATATGTATGAAAAAAAATTTAAAATAATAATAATAATAAAATAAAAAAATCATGTTTATTAATGTTCTCTGATTTACATCGATCGATATCTTTCATAATCCAACAGTTAGAATAACTGCCTTTGAACTAATGGATAGATCGAGTACAGAATTTGGAAATAATAGCACAAGATATAACTCTTCCAATAG